TTTAGCAGCTTTCTTTTCGTTTTTTCGCACTGTTTAGAATTGCTACATGAGTGATTATAGAAAATGCGGCAGTCGTTGAATCTATTAAAAAATATGTCCTCTTTATGTTGATACTATCAAAAATGAGTTCTTACAAGGTTTTCTGGGGCATAGAAATAATTACTTTCGGTTTTTTTCAGAATTATTATTTGAATTTTAGTTAGATGCTTAATATTGCAAGATAAGGTAAAAAATATGATTGCTTTTATAACTTTGCCCACTCTTGCATATTTCATTGATTGTAAACAATAATATTCGTAGACAATTGCAAGGAAAATTATAGATAAAAATTATTTAATATATTAATAATATATTGTTAGAAACATTTAAGCCGAATGTTTTTCGACAATAATTTAAAGATATCGATTAAGAACTAAATCCAAACTTTAAAAAATATCTTAGAAAAAAATGGCTATCTTAAAATAATTCTTACTCTGTGAGTACCTTTTTTTATCGTTTTTTTATAATACACATAGACGACTATGAATAAATCTTTAGTTTAAAGTTGGTGATTCTGAATTTGTTTGTTTAAATAAAACAAGATAAATAAACAATACTACAATCCAATGAATATTTCAGGATGTTCATCATAAATTTTGTTTTTATATAATAATAATAATAAAATTATTTACTTGAACTTATTCTTTACCAGTATGTATACACGTATCATTCATTAATTCTATTGTGACACAGAATGTGGACTTTAGAAGATCATATTATTTACTGTTGCTATTGTTAATCAGCATACTGTATGTTATGTTTAATATAAATAAAAAATAAAAGGACACGATATTCGAATATGTGAGAAACTTGAATACGAACGTCTCACACCAGTATATGAAACAAAATTTTATAGTATGTGACGATTCATCTCTTGCCTAAGTACTTAATAGAAATAAAAGACAAGCAATAGATGTTAACGAAAAAGTTGCTATCGCTTATAAAAACAAAAATCATAATTGATGCAGTAAGAGAGAAGAGATTTTATTTAAGGAGCCAATTGGGGTGTACTACATTCTACAAGGAACTATCACTGTTAAATAGAACATAAATGTAACCAGAGTCTACACCTACACCCACGATATTGACTTAAAAAATATTATAAAAATTCTATTTTTTCGCATCAATCAGCTAAAGATCCGCACTTTTTTCAGAGCATTTATAACCTTTTAGGATCTGTATGATGCATGTAGTTCTGACTCCAAAGCGTTTACTTATGGGGGACTTCTTTCATTAACTATATTCATACTGTAGAGCATTTTCATTAGCGATTTAGCGAAAAGATATCAGTAATAAATACTAAGATATTCTTTAGTCATAAAACACTAAAAACTTCTTCATCATTGAATCTTTACATACTCAGCGAATATCAAAAGCAGTTTTACGAAAATAACACTTATAGATTATCTCATAATGATGTTTTATATTGATTCTTTTAATAGTGATAAATTCTAATCTATGTTTTTATTGTCAACAGATCTTTAAATGTACAAGTACATGTAAGGTTCTTTTTTTTCTCTATCAAATGTTTTGATTACCGATCTTATAAAAAACAGCTATTATAGAAACTTGTTTGATAAAATAAGAAAAAGAGTACTTTTACCTTAAGTAATCTTAGCAATGCTTACCAAAGTATGAGTACAAAAGAAAAATTTGATCTTCAATGTTCCTCCTCAAGACTGATTGTTCTCATCTAAATCACGTAGCAAATAAGCTGATATATTAAAAATATACCTTTTATGATGAAAACAATGTTTCAAAGTTCAAATTCAAATGAAAAATCAGTAAAAATTCTTCTACCGCCTTTCTTTTTTCTATTGGAGAAACAAGATGAATGTATCAGATTTTTGTAAAATATCTATGTAATTCAGAAAGTCATAATTACAATGAAAATTATTAGTTGCTATATCATCTTACAAAAACGTTGTCTCAACTTCATGTTTATGCAAGTATCATCTGTTTTCAAACAAAAGAAGACAAAGTCAGTTTTAGAGTAGTGGTGCTCTATTAACTGTCAATAATTAAATCTTCTACTAGATACTCAATTAAGTCTATTATAGTTTGCCATTGGCTATTTTAGAATGGTGCCAACCACCTCACATAATACACAAATGAATATCGATCTATATAGTTCATTTGAAACGTATTTTCTTTCATAAATATGAATTTTTTTCTTATTTGCAATCATTCGTTGTGTGCTCTTCATAATACATGTTTTACTGTTGCCACACATGCAGCTCTTTACACTAGAGAATGTAGTTGACAAAAATAAAAAAAACAAAGATAAGAGATGCAAAATGTTACCATGATGCAAAAGTAACAATCGAACCGTTCGAGAAAAACGCCAGCAATCAATGTAAGACAAAAAAGAACTAAAGTCAGTGGCAACATCTTATTCAAATTACCACGAATATTTTACCTATCATTAGAGTGATCGTCATGAGTAACTCATTGGAATGATTTCAAAAAGCAAAGGAAAATATTTTGTAAGTCATATAAGGAGTGCAAACATGATCCAAATATTGGACAAGCTTAAGACTCATGTGAAATTAATATCCATAACCGATTTTACTTTAAAAGCTAATCGATTAACTAAGGTATGTCAGTTATTGGTTCCGCTGATTCTGTTTTTCACGATTATCTCATATTTGTTTGATCTTTTTATTTCAACTAATTCTACTATGTTGTCTATATTTTATATGATTTCTTTTCCTCTTGTTTTCCGCATTCTATTCATTAATTACAACTATTTGAGACACAAAAAAACGAAAGTTTATTGTAGTGTAATTTCAAATTTAATAAGACTTTATACAACAACAAAACAGACACAATAGTGAGCAGTGCATGCGAGTAAGACAGACAGCGAAAAAGCTTCCAGTCATAGCAAAATTTGTAGTTGTAAGGCCAAAAGTCTTGCCCATTCACAATTATTTGCAATAATGACGAGCAACCACAACGAATCACAGAAGAATGTATCAATGTGAAGGCTAAACAACTATATATCTCGAAGTTTTCAACTATGTGTCAGAGCCAGACCTGGAAGTCTCTCCTAGCACAGGCGTTGCTACGAGGTAGAGGAAAAAAGTTGCTAATCAACAATCCATTTATCAGTGTTCGCAAAAGTGTCCCATCATAAAGAGGTGTTTCACAGTCAGAACAACATGCTCGAATGTGCATACAAATCCTTAAAAAGAAGAAAAGAGAGTATTTGGCTATTCATCAATATGTTTGGTTCACTGTCAAAAGTTTCAATTCACAATCGGATGTCTAAAAGTGAAAACAACATACCATCAGAATCCATAGAGAAATTGGTATGATGGATAGGAAAAAACCTTCAATACGCTAATCTTTGAATCTAGGTAAAGGAAATATGCGTCCAAGTCATCGACCCATGCGTAAGAACAAACGGAATCACTCTGAGATCACCTATCAACGTATCAGTTTATAAATCGCTGCGTAAGTTGAACGACAAAAGCTTCCAACGATCTATTCATGTGTAAAAATGCCGAAGGAAAATTTCATCAGACTTATCTGTGCGCCACCGTAACAGAAAATGTTTTGAGATCGCGCATGTGTGTGTCAAGGTGATGTAAAAGGGCTTCAAACTAGGATGTGGTTTGATAACTGTGGCTGTGACTATATTTCAAAGTGAGAAGAAGATCCAAATCTACACTCACAACTCAAGGTAAAGAAACTGATTAAGATAGCTTCTTTCCTCTGTTCTTGTTGATAGAGCGTAACAGATTGCACACGTTTCGGCAGTGTCTGGAATATTTGGCAAGTTCAAATTCCTTCAATTTAGTCACATTTTGATTTTTTGATTTCTTGTCTTCTTTTCTGTATTTGATCTTGTCACATATCCGATGTATGTCCTATGTTTCTGTTCGCAACTATGATTTTTACCTAATAAAGGCGCCAGCTACTGGCATCAGCATGGATTTTAGCGCTTATTTATCCAAAATAATATGAATAGTTATGGTAAGTAGCTAATATGAGTGTATCTTGAGGGAGCTATGAGACACTCAGCTCTCCTTACGATGCTTTGGGACAGTCACTGTGCTTCCCTAGAACGTTTTTAGCTATGCTACTAGTAGCTGTAGTACAGAAATATGTTTCCAAGGCCATACTTGAATGCGAATTCATTTGAATTTGTTATGAAATTTGAACTCAATTCAAATTAAGGCCAAACAACATGAATTCGAATACAAATAGTCTCTCTACAACTCACACGCTTGCTGTTTCAAATATCGTGAAAATAAACTAGCGCATTCAAGTGAGCTTGTTTTATCATAAGTATGAAAAATGTAGGCTTTCGATCCGTCTTCGAATCATCATTAGACACAAATACTAAGTATGAAAGACAGAAACTGGGCCATGTATTTAGTGGGTATAATTTCTTTATTCATGTTCTACCTTTTTCTTCTGGAACACTTCAGTGCCAACGATTCAACGACCAGAGTCGTTATCCTATATTGAAATAGGTGAAAGAAAAAAAAAACACAGAAGAAGAGCTTGTACTCATTATATACATGTCATAGTTTCTATCTTTCATACTTATTATTTGTGTCTAGTAATTACTGAAAGGTGAATTGAAAGCTTAAACGCTTTTATTTTAATGATAAAACAGCCATGATCTTCGAACTATGTTATACATATTGCGGATTAAACTGAACATCATTGGATCGATACAATTCAAGTGTTTTATTCTGGTTTTTCTATTATTGTATTACTTTAGTAATAGATTTTTCGACGAATAAAGTGTTAGCTTTAATTTGTTTCATCAATCAATAGAAGGAAGTGATTGAATCTAGCAAACTATATTCTAAAATACGTGTCTAAATACATAGCTCCATATTCAACATTTTTGAAAGGTTCTTCTCAATGTATATAGTTACGCAAAATCGTCTATATAGATATATCTGCTAATATCAGATACGTTTTTAGATTGAAATAATTTTTTGATGACAGCTAAAGCAGTACCTGGTGCTACGCTTAGACTTCGACGTAGATTAGCGCTTGTGATTGGCATTGGTGATTATGAAAATGTCTCAAAATTAAAAAGTTCGCAAAATGATGCGAAGGAATTGTCATTTCTCTTACAACGTATTGGCTTTATTATTGATCAACCACAGTTGGATAAAAAACTTGCTCAGATGAAACAAATTCTTGTTGATTTTGAAAATTCAATACAATCTAATGATGTTGTTCTATTTTATTTTGCTGGGCATGGTATGCAATGGGAAGTAAGTATTCAGATGTTTATGATGAAGCTATTTCGGCTTTTTAATGAGATTTGTCTGTACTACGTCTAGGATCAAAATTATTTGATGCTGAAAGACTTTTCTGACGTGAATACAGCAGATTCAAAAGCGGCAGCTGAGTTTTTAAAAATGAATGCCATCAATGCGCATGATATTCTAAACGCTTTAAGTGCTCGAAAACCATATGCAATAATTTTTCTCTTGGATTGCTGTAAAAATTATTCATTAAAGAATCTTAATTTGGATAAACGTGCCTTAAATGGTAGCGATTCTAAATTAGTTGGTCTGACAGGAATGCATAAAACAGGCTCATTGATTGCATTTGCTTGTGCACCTGGTAAATTAGCAGATGATAGTCCTGAAGAGCAAAATAGTTTATTTATGAAGCATCTTCTGAAACACATTGCAACTCCGAATGAAAATATCGTAGAAATATTACGTGACGTGGTCCATGAAGTGATGAAGGATTCGAATTCCAAACAGATTCCATTTATGAGTGTTCAACTAAGTCACAAAAATATATACATGTGTGAACAAGCTCCAGGTAAGAAGAATAGCTATTAATGGAGTGAGAAAAAATTAGTATGATGCTTCTTTAATTCATCTACAAAATATTTAAACATAGAGCAAGAACGTTGAGATAGGTTTTAGTCAACCAAGCAAAAAGTGAAATAACATCCTTCTACATAGCTGTTTAACTAAGTGATGCATGCATTTGGTGATGGTGCAAATGTTAGTCTGATTTGGAAATTCTCATGTCAAAAAAAAATATGTGAAAGATTTTCTTTGTTTTGTTTCCATCCATTCGCTCTCACTGTCTTGCTGTTTTGAGTTTGTTATTGTTTTTATTGAAATTTTTTCGAAGAGTTTTCCATCCAATTCTCTACAAGTATATACGAAGATGTTAGTTCTGCAATTTTGATTAACTATTGCTATAATGACAATGGAATATGTGCAAATGTCTACAGTACTTCTGTAAAGTCGTATATAGTTCTGGTTCGTATGTAGAATAGAGTTGAGACAACGTTTCTTATAAACTATTTCGAACAATTTTTCATGTCGTTTATGTAGAATGAACCTAATCATAGAATTCTGTAACTTCTGAAAATTTTTCTACGACAACTAGAACGGAACCAGTTTGATTCTTTTTTGAATATCAGGATGTGGAGGTAGATATCAGTGTGCGTGCGAACGTAGGATTTCTTTGCACCCACATACACATGTTCAAATTTCACACTCAGATGATGCTTTATAGAAGATCTTCTCAAAAACCTGATATTATGTTACCATTACTCTGTCTAATCTCGGAGTAGGACCGTGTAAACCAAACCATGCATAAGATTCTTAGCTTATGCTTGCAGATAGCTAAGAAAGTCCTTATATTTTTCTGTGAACAGCTTCGAAAAAATTAGCATTTGTCTTTATAATATTTCAAAAATGCTAACTCCTACAAAAACTTCTTTGCTTGATTTTAAGCGATTTTGATATAGTTATTCTTCTAAATATAAGGCTCAGTCGTCAAATATTCGCGTAGAGTCCTGTCAGGTTTCTTCCGTAACGAAATATACAAGCCATATGATAATCTTGTTAAGATCTTTTATTTAAGTATGTAACTCTAAATTCTATCAGGATCAGAATTTTCGACACACTTGCAGTCATTTTTCAGATAATCATCTGATCAGGCATTGCGACGAACCATGTGAAAAGCATTCGTAAAGATCCTTACTGAATCCTTGGCATTCCAAAAATATATATGTATTAAGATGTACGTCGTTTGTTCAATGATTTGAAACCATTACTCTTGACAACCTCCTAACAAATCTAGAGATTAGTTCAAAGAGCTAACATCACTATTCTATCAAGATTGAGAGAGGTTCATCTCACGATTTTCTACTTTCGAACTTTGACCGAGATTCTTGTTATATCAATAGGATGCTCGCCAGTTATATCTTCAAGTCGTAATACGAAAATTCACGATAGTTCTTGACAAAAATCTCTTCACGTTTTATCGAATTTCTTTTGATAATCCTGTAAAAATGCTGCATTCGAAATTATGAATAAAATCCTCAGATCTCTATGCATTTCTATCGAAAGCTTGTATCGGATTATCATTGGTCGCCTCAGTATTTCAGAAATGTTTATTGGTGGAAATCTCATTAAAGGAGTCTTCTAGTGCATATTTCATGCTTCGGGAAAGTCCTAATATTCAGGATTTAATGTTCCTTGGCAAGAACTTTAACAAATCCCTACAAACACGAATTAAGTAAGATTCGAAACAGAATTTCGGAAGATTCCATGATGTGTTCGCAAGGAATGGTTAGGATTGAGACTATAGAAATGACATAGGTGTGAGAATCATTACGAAGTCCTTTTTTCATCAGAAACTGGAAAGGGTTTCTGAATTTTTATCTTCTGAAAGAACCTTTTCTTGTTTAAAGTATGTTAGGGAAAGATATTCTTGGAAAATTATCAAGCTCTCTTGAAGAAAAACGACTAATTCGTAGCGTTTTTATGTCAGAGAGAGGTTCTCTCTATCAATAGCAACAACTTCTTTTCGTTTTTGTTTATACCAGTGGTTTCCATTATTCCAATAAATGCCCAATGGTCACAGAATGGGGTAACTGTTGCTGGAGGTCACGGACGTGGCGATGACACCAATCAGCTCAATCGTCCTTGGGGTCTCTTCGTTGACGACGATGGAACGATGTTTATCACAGACTGGTATAATGAGCGTATCATCCAATGGAAAATGGGTGATAAGAATGGACAAGTGGTAGCTGGTGGTCATAGTCAAGGTAATCTGTTGAATCAATTGTATGAACCAACTGATGTGTTGATCGACAGACAGACAGATAGTCTCATTATCTGCGACAAAGAGAATCGACGAGTCATACGGTGGCCTTGTCGTAGTGGTACAACCCAAGGAGAAATCCTCTGCGACAACATCAAGTGTTAGGGGTTGGTCATGGATGATCAGAGATATCTCTACATCTCTGATGAAGAAAAACATGAAGTTAGACGCTATCGAATAGGAGACAAAAATGGAACTGTCGTGGTCGGTGGCCATGGAGAAGGTGATAAGCTCAATCAACTCTGTGGCCCGAGCTACATCTTTGTCGATCGAAAACAGGCTGTCTACGTGTCAGACAATTGGAATCATCGTGTAATGAAATGGAATAAAGGAGCAAAAGAAGGGATTGTCGTCGCTGGAGGTCAAGGCGAAGGAAATGCTCTGACACAATTATCGTATCCTAAAGGATTGTTCGTTGATACATGGGGTACTATCTATGTGGTAGATGCGGGAAACGATCGAGTGATGCGCTGGCCTAAAGGAGCGAAAGAGGGCACTGTCCTTGTTGGTGGAAATGGCAAAGGACAAGAAGCAAATCAGTTGTCAGCTCCTATGGGTTTGTCCTTGGATCGACATGGCAATCTCTATGTCGTTGATCAACAAAATCATAGAGTTCAACAGTTTTCTATTAAACAGACTCATTGTGATGCTTAATTAGTTTTTTGTCTTTCGATCAAATAAATCATGATGAATCAAAAGAAAAAGCTATTTCGAGGAAGGAATGAATTGCATTCCTATACCATTTCTGTGCACGCGTCCATGAGCCATTCTAGTGAAACCGTGACAGTGTGCAGACCATGCACGCATGAAACAGATTCATTAATTCCTCATTCAATATTACTCATTTCCTCTTCCTCTTTACTTTTACTTGTACTAGAAAAACCAATGCAACTCAATTTTTAATCGTCGTGCGATGAAGTTGATGACTACAAAATCAAAAAAAATTAATGAAACAGACACGTTTCAAAAGAAATGAGGAATGTCTTCACTTTCACTCTTGTCAACTGTGTTCAACAGCTAGAATAAATTTGAAAAAGATTTTTGAAAAAATCGGCTCACTCGAAAAAAATTTTTACCTAAAACAAAAAGAAAATAATGGAAAAAATCTCACGTAAAAGTTTTGATCTAAATAAAAAAAAAATATTATTTCAGAAAAAAAACTATATTTACCTACAAAAATTATATAAAAATACAAGCTTTAACGTTATCTAAAACAGAAAAAAACTATTTTGAGTAAAGAAAAAAATACAAATAAAAAATTACTTACTTTGAACAGACTAAAAGAAGAAAAATATTAAATAAAAAAATTACTCAAATGTTGGGAAATCTATCGCTACAAATAATCTAAAATAGATACAAAAAAAACTAACATTAAATTAAAAAAATGAATGATTTGCCATCTAGTAATCATTTATCTTAATATGCTCCAAGATGTTTGCTTAAGGTAAGAAATTTCAATAATTTTATGGTCATCAGGTGGTGGTTACCTAGCTTGATAATTCAACAAAGATGGCTATTAAAAACACTTTCAATAAATCGTTACAACGAATGCAATTATGTATGAATCATTAAGGTAACTAGCTGAAACATTGGACAAAATAAAATCTAGAACAACTTGCTTCTATATTTTTGTTCTTGGAAATCTCTTTACTCTCCCTCGGACAAAAAA